CCCTACAGCTCAAACTCAGAAATGAGTGTTTCCATTCCCTTAAAAAAGAAAAAAAAAAAGATCATGCATAATTTTCTCCATAACAGATAGGAGACAAGCACACTTACCCTTGGCCCTGGCTGTAGTAGCCTTCATACCCCTCATAGCTCTGGTCTGCATATGCGTCATCATAGCCCTGAAACAGATGATGACATAAACTGTGTTAATGGAAGGACCAAAGGTTAATGCCTGACCAAGAGTAATGGCAAAACTGAATTCAGATCATGCATAATTTTCTCCATAACAGATAGGAGACAAGCACACTTACCCTTGGCCCTGGCTGTAGTAGCCTTCATACCCCTCATAGCTCTGGTCTGCATATGCGTCATCATAGCCCTGAAACAGATGATGACATAAACTGTGTTAATGGAAGGACCAAAGGTTAATGCCTGACCAAGAGTAATGGCAAAACTGAATTCAGGCTACAGCAGCTTTCAGAGGAGCCTGTGAATCCTCGCCTGCCAGGGAAGGGCGATCATAAGACATAGGTAGCTAAAAACTGCTTGTGTCCTGTGGCTTGGGAGGAACCACACTAATATTTACAATGCATTTGAAAGTCATTTACATGTCCAAAGCTACAGTTCGTCTGTGGTACAAATCCACATGCCTGTGTTATCCAAAACACAGACTTACAGGTAGACAAAACCCAATCTATTAACTTGTGATTGGTTTCAGTGGAAAAACTGAGAAGTTTTACTGAGAGGAGAAACAGAATTTAGAAATACCAGTATTTGTGATGCTTCCCCAAAATGCTGTTGTGCATCAAAACCAGTCATCTTTAGAATACCAAGAGCAAAGATGCTAAGATAAGCTTGACAGGAGGGTGGTGCTTAGTTATATGCCTTGAAACATCACCATGTTCATCAGAGATTTATTTTAAGGATTTTAGGGGCAGTAAGAAACCTTTGGTGTTCCATGCTTAAAGAATTCTCTTGCAGAAAGAGAACGTGATGCAAACTACATCAATCTCTGTGATGTAGTTTTTCCTACCGTGCACTGATAGATATGGCAAATTTCAGTCTTGGGGGCACATTCCAGTTTTATAAAACCCACCCCTTACCCTGTATTTAGGACACCAGCAGTTCCCTCCTTTGAGGATTAAAGCGGCAGAGCAGGTTAGCCAGCACCGTACTAGTGACTGGTGGCCACTTCTACAGCTCTTATTTCAATAATGTTGAATATCAAACACATGATCAGCTAGCTGCAATAAAAAAACCAAAGATATATAGTTTCTTACATATTCCTCATAGGTTTCTGGTGCGGGAGGAGGAGGAAGCGGTATTCTCTGAATGCCGGCTGCACGTGCTCTGGGTGCAGGAGCACCCCGGACTGCTGGGGGAGGAGGTACTCCGCGGGCTACAGCAGCTCCCCTGGCAATGGCACCCCGCACTGGGGCTCCTCGCACAAGGGCCCCCCGAGGAGGAGGAGGGGGAGGACCAACACCACGCCCCCTGGAAAGGAGATAAAAAGGACTGAACAGCTACTGCTGTACCACTCATGAGCTGAATACTGAGGGCAGTGCATATGCTTCTTACACCTACTTTAAAATGCAATAACTTGATAAATGCATGCAGTCACCATCAACCAAGCCATGAATTCTTTACCAAGAATGAAAGCACAAGAATTTTTAACGTTGTTGTATTTCAGGATTTACAAAAACCTCTTCTGAGATGAGAACTCTACTGCATTAGATACTGTACAGACAAAGAAATAAATCTGATACAGAACTTCGACCAAGTAATTTCTCAGAGTTCATTTTAAACAACCCCTTATCACTAACCTGTAATGACTGCCAGACCTCCAACCGTAAAGATCAATGATGAGATGAGCAGGGACACTTCTGGGCTAAACACTCAGAAGCAAAGACTTTCCCCCCATGAAATAGGTAGTGAGGCAAGAACTATAGTAACAGAGTTTTATCACCAATTTATCCCAATGCCTTGACAGCAATGACAGAATAATGTCATCCTATAACTTTTAAAGGACAGTCAGTTTAAACTGAAAATGCTGATTCTGCTGAAGGCTACAGAAGCCAACATAACACATCTATCTACATATGATTTCGTAGGCCAATTTTTGAAAGGTTACTTTATGAAGCTACTGATTTCAGACATCAAAAATAACACAGGAGACATCCACTGCACTAGATTACATCTCAAAACATACAAAACATTTGATGCCACTTGCTAAAAGCAAGCCTGCAACACAAGGCTAGAAAGCCTCAGCCAAAAGCCAAGGTCAAGGCCAACAGCTGATATGCAAGAACAAGTAGCCTAACCTCATCTGGCAGGACAACTCTGAGCAAGATGCAGCATTTCCAGGTCTGTGCTTTTGGGAAAGATACCTTGGAACAGGTGGAGGCGGTGGTGGAGCTGCTCCCCTTCCCCGCACAGGGACTCCTCGGCCACGAGTTGGCTCTGGTACGCCGTTCAGATAGGAGAGCTCCAAGAATTGCTCCTGACAGATATCATCCATCATATCCTAAAGAGGGAAAAGAGTCAACGCCAAAGAACAGCTAACTAGCTAGACTGTGCTCCAGGGTATCACAGGCTACCGTGCTGGAATAAAAATAACCTGATAGTCCTAAATTAAAATCTGCTTGTTAGTTTTACTGGGATTTGCTCAGCAGGCAGCAGTGCACAACGGCCAGCTTTCTTCAAACCGGCCAAGAAGGGCACACCACCTGCACGTCCAAGAGCTGCAGTGAGCACTATAGCTGGTCCCTGGGAAGAGGACCTCGTTCACAGGGGTTCTGGAGGCATCTGATGATGTTCAGCATCCCAGGGATGTCAGCAAGATTTATTTGCAAATGTTGGAGAGTTCAGAGGTGAAGTCAGGCAAGGCATATCTCACCTCAAGCACCTTACAGCTCCCATTTAAAGGCAAGTGGCTGGTAATGAGCCCACATAAGGTAACAACATACTGCTGTGCTCCCGATACACTGAAGGAACAGGATAGGATGCAGCCTGATGAAGAGCAAACATCCATTTGCAAATCCAGGCTGTCTTTTCAAATTCTTAGGAACGCAGTATGTTTCTGGCTCCATGCATTTTTGTCGCCTCAGGGGATCTAGCTTCAGGAATTAGTACAGATCTCTGGTGACTCCGCAGAAGTCATCGTACCCCACCCCTCCCCTCAACACACAGGCAGTCCGGGCCTCGCACCGAGGATCTTCACAATGCCATGGCAACACCACAAAGCAAGGAGTCTCCTACCAGATGTGTCTTCACAGCACTGCTGGCTTCCATAGTGACTTCTCTGTCAATTTTCACAAGTTTAACACATTGTTTGAAGGCAGCGATAGATAAGACACTTTAAATAGCAAGGCTGCACACTTGCTTTAGCAAGCTGAGGTTTTGTACATCCCAGGGGGACCTTGAAGATGACCTCCCTCCTTCAAAGACACTTCACACAGCAATCTCTCCTCTTCTCTGTGTCAGCCTCACAGAGATCACACAGTACCCGCACGCTTTTCCACACTTCCCTACTACCCACCGCTCTCAGGTTCCACCCGCTCCTGGTATTTCAGGAAGAACATCTGAGCTCCCAGTCTCAGCTGTGGAGCACGGTGCCGAGGTATACCCAGCTCTCTACCTGCCAGGTCTCTGAATTACAGGCTGAGCTAGCCAGAAGCAGGGAGCACTGCGTGCTTCTTTCCCATTTTGTTTTTTTCCTAATTTAGCAAGCAATACCATCATTTTAATAACATGCAAAAGACTCCTTCAAGTTCTGCACTTCTTGGAGTCAATACTCTAGCTGACACAAAACTGACATGAAGCTGACCATAAAGGTCTTGCAAGGTTCACCAGTAAAAGACATCCACAAACAGATAACAAGTGTCATCTGTATCAATGCCTGATTAGTAAAGAGGTTCCTTCACAGCATACACATTTAAAGCAACAGAAATATTGATTTAACAGATGTGCCTCAGAAACTAGCTACAACACTAAATACTACCGCTGAGATGCCTGGGCAGTCACCCTCCTCATCCTCACACCACCCCTTTAGAGCAGAGCAAACATCTCCGTACTTACAGTTTCTGATCTGACCAATTATTTTCTAGCCCGATTTCTATGCTACAGTTCCAAGTCAGAGGAACCCATCCAAGAAGCCTCTTCCATGCCAGGCATGGATAAAATCATTCTCCCGCTAAGACTGACACATGGAGCTAGACAAGCTACCCACCCACCCCAGTGTCCACAGCTAGTAACAGGAGAGAAATACCTACTCCAAGTGTTCTATACAATTGCCCTGTAAGTGTACGTCTTTCTAATAATGGTTAGGGGAATAATATATGCCTTCATGCAAGATTAATGGGGTCATCTCAAGCTGCCACACACACACTCAAATACTGCAGGCTTCCTCAACTACACCATTCCTGTAGCAGGAATTACACAGCCTTGTAGCAGGAATTACACAGCCTTACACTGTGCAAATTTTACCCAACCTTATACCTAGATTCACAACCCATCTAACTCCTTCAAAAAGAAAAGAGCATGAGCATACATACTGGAACAAGGAACTTCTTGACTTCTTCCATGGCATGAGCCATCAGAGCATATGCTTCACAAGGGGGTCCAAAAACTTCAATGAAGACATGCAAATCCATATTTAGATGGGCATATTTAGGATCTCCCCCTTTACGCAGTTCTTCCTCCTGAAACAAAGCAGATTAGAGATTCCTAAAACTAAGTAAGATGCAGAGAAACTACTTTTATCTGGTTTTCTACGCCTTAACAGGAAACGTCTGTAAAAGCATTTTGGCCACGCCTGGACACACATACACACGAGCATACAGTTTTATAAAAAGCCACATGCAATCTACAACTTCCAGCTTTTTATAGCTGCCTTTTCAGCTGACTACAATATTTTTGCTAATGCACTGATGCCAGCCACCTTTTTTTCCAGAAGATTAAGCATATGCAAGCAGTGTTCTTCCTCTTCTACACCACCTTTCTGCCTGAGGTGCTCTTTACCACCTAGTGAAGTCTAATGCCTCAAACAAGCTTGCTCTTTAGCTCTGCTCTTAGATACCCATGTTATTCAGATGGCTTCAAGAAGCTACAAATCAGCTAGACGTGTAAAAACTTTTCATGCTGCTGAAATAAAAAGCTGAACTAAATTACAGCTCTGTTGACTGTTAGCTCAGTTTTGGGAGTAAGCAGGAAGAAAAAAAATTCTTTTCATTTCTTCTGCTCAAAAAAGCCTCCTGGCACTTTGTGATTCACTAAAGATTACCAGGAACATACTGCTCCAACGTCTTCAGTGAACCATGAGGATTTAACGATTTCAGAGGAAACAGCTGGAAAAAGGATATTTTTTTTTTGTTTGTTTCTGGAAGGAAAACATATTCCTTTAGCGAGTGACTTTTCACAGAGTAGCTGGAATTAATCCTTATTTTATAAACTTTGTACTTCACCTTTCATATAAACTATCTCTGCATCCAAGGGTACAGGATATCAAAAGATGACTGGTCCCTAAGTCACGCTCATAAAGAAAACATGCATCACACTTCTGCCCCAATCGAGATTACTCCCAACATGCGCAGAACAATTTAGGAAGTGTGACTTCCTACTGCCTTTGCTTTTGGATTTTAATGTTTTAATCTCTTATAAAATGCTTTGAGAACCACTACTTCTCACAGCAACGTGGAAGGCATTAATATACACGTATGTTTTCAAGGGTGATTCCCTTACCTTTGCTTTATCTCGCATTGAACCCTTCCCAAGCACAGATATCTTAGCACCAGTTTCTTCCTGAAGTCTCTTGATGGTGTTGCCTTGAGGTCCCAAAATCTTTCCAACAAAGTTGAACTGTAAATGTAAAAAAAAAAAAAAAAAAAAAATTAGCTCCAGAGCTCAGTAGCCTTCACAAAAGCTTTTCTTAATGTTATTCTGGCTGACAAAAAATGTAGCCACTCCATTTTCTCTTCACCTCACCAAAAAAATACAGACCAAAAAATGCACAGGAAAATTTAAATTCCAGAACATTCTTTTCAAGAAAAAATGCTCCACCAGAAAATCAAGCTAAATTAACTTACGTAAAGCGTTTAATTCTAACATCTACTCTCCAGTAGTTTTACAGGCAGCAAGTCTTAAGAGTTAAATGAGTTCTTAACTGTAAAACACAAAGCTCTACATATGAAAGCGTCTATTCTAGTAATAAAAGATCACAGCTATGCATCACCATTTAGCTTTATCCCAAGACATTCTAGAAATGTAATATATTAGAAATAAGATCCTGCAAGCTTGCATAGGAAAAATTCCGTAGTAATAGTGGAACACTGGCATAATTCCTGATGACACTTTGACAGCTACTATCTCTAAAAGTCAGCCATAAAAATCCATAGAAAATAAGCAAATCACAGAGATTCAGTAAGCTATTTTCTGGCCCTCACCTTGGGGTACTGTTTGACAGGTATCAGAACTCGTTCTTTCAGTTTCATATTCTTGTGGGAAAATAAATCCAGGTAGTTCTCTTCCTCATCCTTCTTTGTTGTTTCACCCTTCTGAATTTTTTCAATTTCTAAACAAGATAAAAATAGGGCTGCTTATATTCCTCAAACAAGCATCATTTTAGTGTTGGAATTATGACAGGACATACCACCCTCATTCTCTGTGAATATATGAACACTTATAACTGTATTAATGGAATCTGGATAGGCAGGCCACCTCTTTAGTGCTAGCCCAGCTTGCCTCTTCCTTCCTTCACATCTAGGGATTCCAGAAGGCCAAAAATGGGATAATGAACAAAAATAAGAACGAACAGTAGAGAATGCTCTACACATAACTTCAACAGGTAGGAGTAGGAAACTGTAAGTACAGTTTTGCGTATCACTTCTGCTGTGCCTTCCTCTATCAGTCCCCAAACTCGTGCTTCCACCGCGAATCCAGTACCCACGTGTAGACTCCTAAACCTACAAAGAAACCAGCCCCAACTACACTACTGGATACACTTGCTATAACGCAGCTGCCACCAGCAAATCAGACAAGTTTTTATCATGCAAGCTGATGCACTATTTTAAATCTGCAATTTAAGTAGTGGTGTCAACACATACCGACACTATGAATTTCAGTTAAGTTGAAAAACGTTCCTAATAAAGAGAAGCCCGAATGAGTGACACACTAGAGTGTGGTCTGGGTTATGAAATTCTTATAAGCTTCATTTCATTAGATGAATGCATCTTTATCATACAAGCATTTTGCAACTTGGTTTTTAAGTTGTAAGCCTTGGGCATATAGCCATAAACGTGAGCATCAGAAGTCCTTAACTTGATTCAGGTGATGCAACTACAAATTTTTGTCTCTCAAAATAAGACTCTGATTTTTAGTTGTATATTGTGAATTGCAGAGTCTTGGAAAAACCCTGAGGTGGCCTGACTGAACTGAAGGCATGCTGCAGCCTGAGGGGGATCTGGAACAAAGTCCAAATAGCCTTCTGGAAGTAGGTCATTAAGGTAGGCCAATTAGGAACTAGTACACAAACACCTTCTCAAATCTGGCTAGAAATTAAACTTTCGCTGAGAGATGGCAGGAGACAGTCACCTCGTAAAAGACGACCCAAATGGAGAAGACTGAAGATCATCTTCAAGGCAGGCATTTCTAGCATAGGCTCTTACAGTCATTAATGCACTTGTACAAGACAAACACCCAACATTTTTCAAAAGAATGTAGCCCATAGCTGACTGGCTTTTCTTTTCCAGAGATGTCCAGTCATGCACAATTTTTATTTAATGGCCAACAACTAGATAAGTTCCCCCAGATTTGAAGCCAATCCATTACTAACAATCCCAGATTATTGATGAACTGTTATGCACTTTGGTCCAACCAAAAAAAAAAAATTGGTCACACCATGCGTAGCCATCACAAATTATTACTCACAGATGCTTATCGGGGAGGAGCATGATCCTTCCCTAAAATTTAAATTGTGCCATTTCATCAGCAAACCCAAGAACTATAAATATATCTTCTGAGTTGAAAGTGCTCTAAATACAACTTCTCACATCTCAGGGGAAAGAGACACTTTCACAAGATTATATACATAACTGGATTAAAGCTGCAAGACAAAACTGAAACTGAAGACTGCTTAGTCATTACCAGAATTTAAAGAGAGCAGCTGCAGTATCTTGTGTTTCCTGTGATTTCTGTCCATGTCAGAAACTATATGCTTTAGACTAAATGTTCATGTTTACAGTTTTGGAAGACTGGCATATCAGATACTTGACGTATTATCCACCTAGTAATATTCTCGTATCATCCAAACAGAAATAAGAACAATGGGTTACCATCATCCTTGTGACTGGACAGGCAACCACAGCCTCACGGGCTGAGAAGCATGACTGGATCTTTCAAATGGCGCAGACCACAAGGAAGTCAAGCAACTAGATGTGCAACCAAAAAACAAAACCTTAAGAAAACATGACCAAATGATCAATATTTTATCTTTTCAGTTACGGACACAGTAATATAAACTGGTTTTTAGTTTAAAGATGTAAAGATAGAATTTGGAGATGGCGTTGCATAATTATGAAAAAAGCCTAAATTTTTGTATTTCTACTTGCAACAGCACCTTGGCTGCCTTACAAAAGTGTTACAATGACTCCTTAGTTTAAAAAAAATACCGGATCTAATCACTTTGAAAAAGATAGCTTGATTTTTGCTTTAAAAAGAAATTATTTTCTGAAGTCACTATGCAAAAGTAAAAAACCCAGAAGCTCAAGCACTGTCAAATTTATAAAATAAGGTGGCTGCCTTGGTTAGTTTTAAGCAGTTTTTTTGATTTTAGCTGTAAGAACAGATCAGACAATCAAGATTTGGAAACTAAAGATTGCACTGTTGGCCTTATCCCTGGTTAGGCATAGCTTTAGACCCTATAATACAATGTGATTACTTCTCAAATATTTTGGTTCTCCAAAAACAGCAAGTGAATTTCTGAAAATGCATTCTGCATATTAACAAAAAGCGTTTTCTACGCACACATCAAGAATAAAAGCACTCTAAAACTTTCTTAAGTAAATTAAACTACCCAGAGGCATCTTCTACCTTGTCAAAACACAACGCAATCAGACATAAGCCTCTGCAAACCAGTGAATCGCAGTTCACATCAACCACACAGGAAAACCCATTCTGCCTCCTGCAAGAGTAGCAACAACATCTGGGAATCAGTCTGTGAGGGCAACAAATAATTAACTACTTGCTAAAAAAAGCATCGGATCCATCATCGCTGAGCCTTCAAATGAAATCCAAAACATGTAAGAAGAAAAAACCCTGCCCCAGCAGAGTAACTCAAAGTTCTCCAGCTTTTGCAATTCAGGTCAGTGCGGGTGACCTAGCAGTCCCCTTCACACCTTCAGAACAAACTCCAAGTCTGGAAATAGGTGTGAAGAAGGACTAAAAACACGCCACTTGTGACGTGTCCTACTACTCCGGATTCCAGCGTTATCTGTATGCATTCTGGCATATTAGCTACGCAACATGAAGCAGTACTGAATGAACTGATGAGTGGTAGCAGTTTGTCAGACCACTTACTGATATGAAGGAGAAGCGTACATATACCTTGAGGGATTAAGCATGCCTCATTTCAGTGCTGATTTTTTAAAGCCGTGTCAGAGGTGCAGCAGAAGGTTACCTTCTTGCCACGGGGAATGTCAGCAGTCTGGCGGCATGTGTGGCAGTGGTTTCCAGGACTTCATGTGGGGCAGTGATTGCATTGTCTCAGAAGAAATCCTAAGGGGTAGGTAAAGGGGGTTGGTAACACCGCTGCTTCACAAGGAGGAGGCTAAGCAGCCACAGTGCTACTCCTGATCTAAGCCCAAGCTCTTCCTTAACAAAAAACCACCATATTGAACATTGTCCTGCAGCACGCTTGTGCTCTGTAAGCAGAGACACATTCTGTTTATTCGTAATACTGAGAGTATTATCTTAACAGTATGATAATACTGACCCCGTGCCCAAAAAACCCCAAAGAATTTGGGGATGGGAGCCTCTGGAAGAAAGCCGAGCTCCCTCTCTCCTACGCTACTGCTCCCCAGCTGGTTTGATTTCACAGGAGAGGAAGCAGGGAGCTGTTCCTGGATGGACTCTGCCAATAGTGGAAGCTGCAGAATTTGGCAAGCCTAACCCCAGCACTTCCCTCCCACTTTCTGCTGAAATACACCCCCCCACCCTCCAGCCTGTATGCTGGGATTCATACGCAGACAGCTCTGCTTTGAAGCTTTGCTGAGAAGGGAGGGGACTGCCACTAGCACAGGGAAAAGGGGCATGGGGAAGAAAAGAAACACTGCTCAAGCGTGAGGCAGGGAGGAGAAAGCCTGGAGGTGAGCTATGAGAAATGGCACAAGTAGTAGAGGCTCCTGGGAGAGAAGTGGGAGGAGGCAGAGTCACAGCAGTGACAGGCAGGCTAGCATCAGCAGCTAATAATGTTGGCATGGCTTAGCAATATACACATCTGAAAATGCAACAGTGAAACGGTATTAGCATATGACAGTCTGTGACATCTGGGCACAAGTTTAAGGCGGCAGTTACAGCTCCTTTGGGGGGGGTAGGGCATACGCTTGGAAACGCAGAAATTCAGATAATCTTCTCCATTTCAGGACAGCCTTAACTCCACGCAAAGCAAGCTTCAAAACACTGCATTGCTCTGTGTTACATACAGTTTCTCATCACCCCCGTGACCTCAGCCCACTTCTAATCCCACTATTTGGTTCCTTGGCAAGTCACTCTAGCGAGGCCACCGCCATTCCATCTGACTTTCCCACACAGCCCTTTTTCCCTCCTAGGAATACACACAGACTAAATGAGCCTGGCAAAAGAACCAGCACGGTCAGCAGGGGATTTTGTTGAGAAGTCCTCTGACACCTCAAGCTGCTCCCTGCTTCACAATGTGTTGCTCTAACTCCAATTGCTTGACGCTCCTTCCCTTCATGGGTCCTGCTCTAATACCCTATCCTTGCTCTGAATCCACCCCTCACCACCCATCTCCATCCCTCCTCACCGCTCCACACTTCTGGGGATGTAAAGGGCTGCATTTAACATAAGGATCCTAGCTATATAGACACTTGCTAGTGGAATGACATAGCTCATGTATCTGTTTGCAGCATAGGAAGCTCAGAGATGGCCAGCTCTTTTCACTTGGAGTTTCTCCACAAAATAAAAATAGCTAAGACTACCACAAGAATTTGAAAAAACCCTATGCCTAGCTAACACATCGGTGGACATCTCCTGTCCTCCCAGTGCACACAAGCAGAGAGAACTGTGCCTTTCAAAACACCAGCATCTCCTCCTGCTCTCCCCACAGCAGATGGAGGGCACAATCAAAGTGAGGAAAAGGGGTTTTCTTGTTCCTGTGGAAGAGGAAGGTCACACAGACCCCGAATCACAGGAGTCAGGAAACGTGGATCATATTCCAAGGTGCAAGAAATCCCAGTTTTCAGTTTCTGTTCGGGTG